GGATCATTGATAATTTAATGGGACAATGTCAATCAGACCTTCACTTCGTTTAAAAAAGGAATTCCAGTCGATCGAATGCATTGATTCATTGCTGCCTCAATTAAGATTGTTGATAAAAAGAGTTTGTTTCTTTGTCTCTCTCGAAGAAAATCGTCGTCGATCTGACAGTTCTAAATGATCGAGAACGATTTGAAATCTTTGATGTGGATTGGATCAATTATCTTGTTCGACCAACATATTCGACTGACTGCGATAATCGATCTTGGATCCGTCGTTATTTTCTCGATCGCACCATCAATTGGAGGATGTGGATGGTGTGGGCGTGATTGACAACAACACTAACACTAACACTCAACACCCACACCAACACCCTTACATTACAAAAGTAGTTAAAACACGACAAAGAAATAGTGAAGTTAATTAGTTTACTTTCAAAATATGATCAATTCGATACAGTCATTTTTTTAAGTAGAAAGAGATTTAGATGACGTTTATTCTTGCTTAGATCCTCCTGTATTCCTGATAAACCATTAAAAACAATAAATATACACTGAAGACCATCGTTATCAAGTAATTCAAGTTATGTTTCATCTTGTGCTATAGAAGATCGTGATTTTCGGGAGTTAGTGAGATTTCACTGAAAAGAATTTCAAAAATAGTGTATTCTTGTTGAAACAGAAATGATTGAAGGTTAAAATTATTATTTTCGTGTTTTCTCTTTAAATGGGACGATTTCAATCTTTGTGAACCAGAGACTGTCATCAATACAGAGCACACTGAGGCATTAGTGTTCTAACCCCTAGGAAGGCCAAAACAGTTTCTCTTAGTAGCATTTTTTTATAAAGAGTCATCTGACGCCATTTACTAAATCCAAAAATGAATCTTTCAGAACACCTGTCATTTGTGTGATTCTACTAGCTAGTAAGGATTTCATGTTTCGGTCCATGTCACTAGAGCTTATGTGTATGATGGTCATTATAATTCATCATCGTTCCATACAATCTCTTTCGATTTCGAAAAAATTGAACATTTTTTATTAAATCATGAAGACGTCAAGTAAGTAATCGAAAATGAATTTGGATCTGGTGCTAAATAGTGATGAAAGATTTGGAATTCATTAAATGATGAGATTTGATCATAGACATGCACCAAACCCAAACCCAAACTGTTTGGGGTTTGGGTTTGGGTATTGAAGTTGGGTTTGGGTTTGGGTTTGGGTATTGAGTTTGGGTTTGGGCTTGGGTTTGGGTATTGCGGTTGGGTTTGCGTTTGGATTTGGGTATTGAGTTTGGGTTTGGGTATTGAGTTTGGGTTTAGGTTTGGGTTTGGGTATGAGTTTGAGTTTGATCAACAGTCGTATATGAAAAGGTTAGATACATGGGCCATAATCAAATTTGAATCCAAACTCATACACAAACCTTACCCAAACCCAAACCCAAACCCAAACCCAAACTCAATACCGAAACCCAAACCCAAACTCAAACTCAATACCCAAACCCAAACCATCAAACCCAAACCCAAACCCAAACTCAATACCGAAACCCAAACCCAAACTCAAACTCAATACCCAAACCCAAACCATCAAACCCAAACCGTTTGGGTTTGGTGCATGTCTATTTGATCCCAAAGAATCGCTGTTTTCATTGACGGATATCTTGTTTTTATATGATTATGCTACTACACTGTAATCTTTTTTAAAATTCTATTTTGTAGACAATAGACTTTAAGTAAGCTAAAGCATTTTCAAACTTTCATTATTCATTCATCGAATTTTGAATGCTCACAAAATTCTTGGTTTTCTATATAATAGAAATTCAATTTGATTTTCTAAAAAATGATTTTCAAAAGAATTAGAAAATCAATATAAATTCTAGATAAAGTCAAAAATGAAAACAACATTCTGGAAAACCATTTGAACAATGACCGCTATAGAGTCATTGCTCATTCATGTATATAAGTCAGGCCGATAGTGTTATGTATTCATTATTGTCTCCGGCAGCTATAGTGAATTGATAAACTAATTTTTCACTTGCCACGTGAGTCAATCTATTTTGAATGTATTTAACCCTTAAGAGCCGAATGTCCCTTCCAAGGGACATTTAAATAATTGTAATCAAAGTCTTATAAAAATGTTGTAGACAAAAACCAATATTTTTCTGGATTGATATGACTTTCGAGGCCATACCTAGACCAAAATGTAGTATTCAGGTGGCTGCCAGGCGTAGCAAAACACCTTTTTGGTCTGATGACTTTTTTCAGTAACACCTTTCCTCCCTAAAGTTGTATCTATTCGGAGATGCGACATACAGTGTAGTTTATTTTACGTTACACTCTTAAGCTTATCACCAAGCTATTCAATGTCAGCGTTCTAGAATCTTTTAACCGATCTACTGACAGATTGTGCCGTGATCAATAAAAAATTCCTTCGGTGCGACATTCAGCCTCATAGAAAAATCAAAACAATGTATTTCTAACATGAAACTTGGCTCATACATAGCCCCAGTAGTGTTTAGGAAGTTTCAAAATTTTCAGGAACAACTGTTGTTTCTTTCGCGAGATACAGAATATTGAAGTTTTTAGCAATTTTTAGCAAAATTTAGCTGGTTTTTGGATTTCGAATATCTCAGCAAGAAAGCATCTGTTCTATATGAAAATTTCGGAGCATATTAAGTATTATCAAAACTATCTAAAGGCAAAGTTTCAGATCGAAATTCCTATTTTTTCGAATTTTTACAGGGATGGCTATTCCTGCCAAAGGAGGTTGTGTAGGTCCAGAATAAGAAGAGGGTAATTATTTTTAACTGTAGTACGAGTATACTGAGGGTCCATAATCTCTGTTTTTCTAATTAAATTCTCATTTTTATAAGCGGAAGCCACTTCGGCTTTTCAGGGTTAAATTATAATTATTTATTTATTTATATATTTTGTTCGGTGGATTTATATGAATTGAATGTCTATGATTTTATTGCAATTAAAATTAAATAAATTATTTATTTTATTTGATGCATTTATATGAGTTTAATGCTTATGAAATTGTTTAGATGAAAATTAAATGTAAAATTGAATTATTTATTTTATGTGATGCCTTAATGAAGTTCAATGTTTATAAACTTATTCAAATTCAAATTAAAGTAAAAATTAAATTAAAGTATTGTATAAAATTAGTAAAAGTAATTTCAAATTCAAAATTGAATTTCAAATTTCTAGAAAATGTTCAAATTGATAAATAAAATACGAATTTCTACAAGTGTCTATATGTATTCACTTTCGATTTTCTAATTAGAAAATCGAGTTTCTTATTTCTATCTTTTTGAATATTGTATTTTCAAGAAAGGAGAAATTCATTCACGAATACATATAGGCACTCCTAGAATATCTTCTTTTATAGTCTATAATGCATTTTCTAGTTTACGGTGTAGTGTCATATACCCTTGATAAAAATGGCAAGATATTGAATTAATAACTTTTATTTCCTCATCGAGAATAAAATGAAACGACATCATTTTTATTGTTCACTGTTTCCTATTGAGTCTTTTTTATAATCGATTCAAAGAATTTGTTTATTTTTACTAATTCAACTATATTAATGAACTTTACTCGAATAAAATGACCATACACGTGCAATTGAGAAGAAAATAGGCCTGAAATGCTACTCAAAGTTCATTCAAATCGATAAAACTTCTTATCGTTAGTGATCGATAGTGGTTGGTATTTCATCGCCATTTTTAGTTTTTTTTGTTGGTAGAGAGATGTTCCTTATTGCTTTCAGCTCTAGGAAGTAGAATGCAAAAGTTATGGTGTTGAATTAAAACCAAAAATTGAACGACAACGATCATGATGGTCGGTTTTGGGAAAAAACGAAGCCATGATGAGATTTAATAAGTATACAAGGTTCAACAGCATTCTAAGCTTTACAGAAATCAGTTTTAGAAAGAACTCTTCAAAAGTTAGCGGGCTAACTTAACTGTCAAGGTCAATGACCTTTTCATATCAGGTCATTGTTCATAAAACGTAGCTATTTCTCAATATGATACAGTAGAAATTTACCTAAATATTTCGATTGTTATTTGATTATCATCAATGAAACTTATGATAAAAAATTAGAGAAGAAAATTGTATTTATATAGCAGAAAAAAAAGAATATACTCGATGCTTATCTTTCTTTTTTTCTATATATGTACGCATATGTCAAGAAAAACAAAAACAACGAGAACCACCAGTGTATTCTTTCTTTTCTGTTATAAATAATTATTCTTTTTCTCTATAATTTTTATGATAAATTTCATTGATAATAATCCAATAAAGATTGAAATATTTAATGCTGAGCTCATGATCTTCAAGAATACTGTAATGCCCCTCAACTGTTATGCAAAGGTTCATAGTACTAAATTTTGACGAAAACGTAATTTTGTGTATAGCATTCGACACGTCATCAGCTAATCAACAATGTTTTGTGAGAATAATTCTGTGAAGTTAATTTCACGTTCTTCCTATTGTAACACATATGGTTCAACTTTAGCATGAATTGCTAATTGAGTTCGTCGTAATTTGAAAAAGAACATTTTGTTATAATACTATAGTGCTTTATTCTTGATGATTATGAGCCAGTACGAGAATGAAATTCATGCATTCTTGTTAGAAATTTTCTGTATTATGTGATGCTACCAGTCTATTTTATACGAACTGTTTTAGAACATGATGACATTCTACTCTCATACACAGCACCATTTATTATTGAGTTTTTTTCTCCATGATATTTTTGTTCTTATCATTCGAGCCTTTCGTTTCTATTCTTTGCTTGATAAGGATAGAATATATATACTAGCTTGTGGTAGTTTTATTCTTTATTACTACATCGCTTCGTGGCAGTTTTACTCTCTATTACTACATCGACTTGTATTGTTGGCATAAAGAACACAGAAATAGGCATGAATAGTGGCGAAATATTACCCAAGATGCTGGACGCAGTAATCGTGGGTGCTGGCTTCTCAGGAATTTACATGTTGTACCGCTTACGTAAATATGGTTTTTCCGCAAAGATTCTTGAGGCCGGTGATGGTATTGGTGGTACATGGTATTGGAATCGTTATCCAGGTGCACGTTGTGACATTGAAAGTATGCAGTACTCCTATTCATTCTCAGAAGAATTACAACAAGAATGGAAATGGTCGGAAATATTTTCATCTCAGTCAGAGATCTTGCGTTATCTCAATTATGTTGTTGATAAATTTGATCTTCGTAAGGATATTCAACTCGGTACTCGAGTGGATACAGTCTATTTCGATGAGGCGCATTCACGTTGGGAAGTACAAACAAATCGAGAAGATAGACTTTTCGCCAATTTTTGCATAATGGCCACTGGTTGTCTCTCAACAGCTCGCGTTCCACAAATCAAAGGACTTGATATTTTCAACGGTCAACACTATCATACAGGTCGATGGCCACATATGAATATTTGCTTTAATGGACGTCGTGTGGCCGTCATTGGCACCGGCTCCTCTGGCATACAATCGATTCCAGTCATTGCTGAACAAGCAGATCATGTCTTTGTATTTCAACGAACACCAAATTTCAGTATTCCATCTCGCAATGGACTTCTCAAAGCCGAATATGAACAATGGTGGAAATCGAATTATGCAGAGTATCGGCGGCAGATCTCCGAAGCACCCTTTGGATTCATACTCAAAGACAAAAAGAATATTTCAGCAATGACTGTAACGCCAGAGGAACGCCAACATGAGTTGGAGAGAAGTTGGCAAAATGGTGGTCTTGATTTTTTATTGAGTTTCAATGATCTCTTTATCAACAAGGAATCCAATGATGCAGCAGCTGAATTCGTACGCACTAAGATCCGTGAAACTGTCAAAAATCCCGAGGTAGCTGAGGTTTTGATTCCACAGAATTATCCGATAGGTACCAAGCGTCTGTGTGTCGACACCAACTACTTTCAGGCTTTTAATCGCGACAATGTCACGTTAGTTGATCTTCGAAACGGACCGATCGATGAAATAACACCCAATGGCATTCGTATCAAAGAGAAAGTCTACGAAGTGGATGATATTGTGTTTGCGACAGGATTTGATGCGATGACTGGAGCTTTGCTTCAAATTGATATTCATGGTCGTTCTGGCAAAACACTTCAAGACAAATGGGCAGAAGGTCCTCGCACCTATCTCGGTTTGATGATGGCCGATTTTCCGAATCTCTTCATCATCACTGGTCCTGGTAGCCCATCGGTACTAACGAATATGCTTCCTTCTATTGAGCAACATGTCGATTGGATAGTCGAATGTCTCAACTATCTTCGTATGCATCATTACGATACGATCGAACCGCAAGTAGAAGCAGAAAATGCATGGGTTCTTCATGTTAATGAAATCGCCAATGCAACGCTCTTTCCTCTGGCTAACTCATGGTACGTTGGAGCGAATATCGATGGTAAACCCAGAGTCTTTATGCCATATGCAGGCGGTTTGAATGTGTATAGACAAAAGTGCCAAGAGATTGTCAACAATGGCTATGAAGGGTTTACGTGTGTAAAAGACAATCACTGAATCCTTTGAATGAAAAATCATTAATAACACTACTAAAGACCAATTTCTTTTTTTTTAATAACACGATGTGAACATTCACTTTCAATAAACATTCATTTCTCTTGATTTTCACAGGTGATTTTTCCCTTCGCGTGTATCATCACCTATGGAATATTCCCTTCTATGATCTTTTACATTTGTTTCAAATATATATAGGAGATGAACGATTGCAATAAAGGGAAAAAAACGGGATATTATTCTAGTCGTTATTGTTATCGTATATTACACGGGAGGATTACACCTCACAGCGATGATCGGATTTTAACGTATAATATCATTTTCTCTCCATATTTCTAATCTATTTTTTTAACTCATGTATTTTGACAATCGGATTAATAAATTTAGATTTACAAAAATTCCTTAAATCAAGAAATAGGTTCTAAAAAATTTAAAATTAAAATAAATTTAAATTTGCAAGAATTTGAGTTTAGAATAAATTGAGAGAAAAGTGCAACGTCTATCAGGAACTGATAATGAACTCAACCGGACTCGAACCAGTAAAACTCGGTTCGATTCGGTCTTTAGTTCAGATATGTTTGTTCTTCATCTGCCAGGTTCATTTGATCAATTTGAAGCTGATTGATCATTGCATCAATCAAGTTGTTTGTTGGATTAGTTGTACTGTTTTTCATGTTTCTTTTATTTTGTAATACATGCGAATCGACTAGTAATATAAAAATACTCTTGACTTGTCATTCATTTCTTATTGCAATTTTATAGTCCAAGAAAATAGAACGATTTGGTATATAAAAGGTATACGATTCATGTTCGACTTTTTACCAAAGTCAACTCAATGTGTACTTTGATTCTCGAACATGCGCTCCTCTAACAGTTGTCCGAACATCTTTCGCTCTATTCTCTGTACTTTGTCTAAGTGGCTCTTTATTTCTCTGATCAATAGTCATTTTTGTTTGGAGGTAGTATCTTGCTTTTATCTTTACCACCGACATTCCAAGCAGTAAAACACTTAAGAGATAAATTATACTGTGTCGGTAATCGATTGTGTTGGTCGTTCTGCATCTTTTTTTTCGAGCATGATATTTTTAGAGTTCTTTTTCTTTGGTTTTGTTTTTATTGGAAGAAACCGAAGCAACGTTGTCTATTTATTGGATATTAACGTACTGGAGTTTCGTTCAACGCGTCATGTTCTATTAATTAGTACATATTTCGTTTAAAGACTTATCCGATATCATGAAAAAATCTTTGAGAACACAGTCCTTTGTAATCTCCCTTGTTCCTGTATGCAACGAGTCTCCTTCAAAGTGCCCATACATGATGCATACAGTTTTTTTCTATTTTGTTGAATATGACAGATTTTCCTACAAATCATCCCCGTTCTGAGATTTACTGAATTATCTTTGTTTCAGCTTTCTCTTGTTCTGTTCTGAAATAAGAATCAGAAAGATTTTTATGGGTTATTTAGTACATCTGAATTAATACTATTGTGATTATTGATGTATTGTAGGTGCTAGTTTTACCTTCTAATAAACAAACACATAACCAATGGCAATAATCTACCTATAGCCAATCATGAGACAGCGGCAACAACAACAGATAAGAATGATTTTTCTGTCATCATGTCTTCTACTCATCAAAAACCTTGTGGACTAGATTGGACTGAACCGTCTTGGATACGATGGATCTATGTTCTGTTTTTTTGGTGGTTAAATCCAATTTTGAATATTGGTGCTAAACGGAAATTAACTGACGATAATTTATTTGATGTATCGCTAAATGATACATGTAGTCAGTTATTAAAGAAACTTGAAACAGTATAGGAAAAATTTGAAAATAAATATGAAGACAATAACACATGGAAAATAGTTGCAATAGCGTGGTGGAAAGAGAGTTTAAGACTTGGTCTATTGATGTTTCCATATCTCGGTGCAAAGATAGCTTAGCCTTTACTTATAAAAGAAATCGTTCTTATAATCAACGATTCAAATAGAGCTTCATATGTGGGCTATTTATATGCCATTGGATTAGGACTTTCATGAAGTTTTCAAGCATTGATGCATCACCAATTTTTTTTTCGTTCAGCACGAATTGGGATTTAAATACGAGTTGCACTTTCATCTCTTATTTATAAAAGATTAGTATCATTGCCAACAAGAGCAATTATCAAAACGACAACAGGTCAAATGGTGAATTTAATTTCAAATGATGTCAGTAAATTTGAAGAACTATACAAATTTATTCATCATTTATGGGCGACACCAGTCGAAGTACTTTTTGTCTTTGGTATAATTTGGAACGAAATTGGTATTCCGACCATGTTCGGCTACGTTGTATTGTTACTACAAGTACCATTACAATTGTGTTTCAGTAAAAAATTTGGAGCATACAGAAAAAATACCATGCGTTGGACTGATGAACGTGTAAAATTAACCAATGAAATATTGGTTGGTGGGCAAATTGTTAAAATGTACCGATGGGAAGAAGCGCTGGAGACAGTTATACATAACACAAGAAAAAAAGAATTTAAAAGTATTCGAAAAGCGAATCGAATTCGAGCAATTAATATGGCCATTTATTTTTCATCAGTATCATTAGTTTCATTGGCTACGTTTGGTGGAAGCTGGTTAATGGGTCAGACATTGTCTAGTGCGAATATATTTACAATATTATCATTGTTTGGTGTGCTTAGAAACCAAGTCGCTGCTGGCTTACCTTCTGCTATTGAGAAATTTAGTGACAGTCTAATACCATCAAAATGTATTAATCGATTCATGAATTTATGGAAACAGACCCATGCAAAAACATTCGAAGAGCATTCTACAGACATGTCTAAACGTATATCAGGTAGTATAATAATGGATTGAGCCTCATTCATATGGAATTCTATTCAATCGACTGAACTAATTGAAATTGATTTGAATTTGTATGCTGGTTCATTCGTTGGTGTTGTAGGAGCAACAGGTTCGTGTAAATCATCTCTGTTGGCATCAATACTCGATGAAGTGTCTCTTGTTGAAGGCAGTAGTAAGATATATGGTAAAATTGCATATGCATCTCAAACACCATGGATATTTGCTGGTACGATACGTGAAAATATATTGTTTTGTAAAGGCTTTGATAAAGAAAAATATGGATGTGTGTTGCAAGCATTTGTTTAATAACTGATTTACAATCATTTCCAGATGGTGATTCAACAGTCATAGGAGGAAAAGGAGTAAATTTGAGTGAAGGACAAAAAGCTCGTGTCTCACTTGCTCGAACTTTATACACTGACGCTGATATTTATTTGTTTGATGATCCACTAGCAGCTGTTGATTCAACAGTTGCTAGAAAAATTTTCCAACAGTGCATTAGTAATGAAAGTATGTTAAATGATAAAACACGCTTATTAGTTACACATCAAATACAATTTTTATCCGAATTTGATCATTGTATTTTATTAGATCATGGTCAAATAGAGAAACAAGGTTTATTTGATGAATTACTAACAATAGATAAAGTTAAGCAATGCTACGAAAATCATCTAAAACATACAAACGAAACAGGAAAAAGTCGTAGACAAAATCATAATAATGTTTGTGATGATGATGATGATTCTATGAAGCCATCGGAAACTGTTAATAAAAGTAGTATTGTCATAGAAGAAACATCTATTGGCGGAAAAGTTAGTACCTATGTTTGGTTTAAATTATTTACTGCTAGTTATGGCTGGGCTGAATGCATATTATTGATTTTTTTAATGTTGTTGGGTCAAGATCTTTATGATGTAACTAACAAATGGTTAAGTATATGGTTATCAAAGTTGGAAGTAGAGCAACGCAAAAGTTAGTATATATATGTGTACTTAGGTCTGATAATATCCACATGGCTAATGGCCATACTTCGCGCTGATTATTTTTTTCCACATTATATTACGTGGAGCATCTGTATTTCACAACTGTATGTTCAAAGGTGTTTTATACAGTTCATTGAGATTTTATGAAAGTAACCCAGTTGGTCGTATCTTAAATAGATTTAGTAAAGATCAACAAGTTATCGATGAATTATTACCAATATCATTTTTTTATACAATTCAATCACTAATCATGGTATTAGGTAGTATTGCTATTATTGATATCTTAAACCCACGGGTATTATTGATATTGGTAATCATTATCCCAATACTTCTTTGGTTAAGAAGAATCTATGTAAGAATAAGTAGAGAAATTAAACGTTTAGAAAGTGTAAGTCGAAGTCCTATTTATGCATTATTTTCTTCATCACTAAGTGGACTAATGCCTATTAGAACATTCAAAATAGAAAATGATTTTCTTAATTCATTTATTGACAAAGTTAGTGCAAATACGCGTGCACTTTTCCTATTCATTTCCTTGAGTAGATGGTTTGGTTTAAGATTAGATCTAATGACTTGTTGCATAACATTTTTGACAGCAATTTTATCGGTATTCTTACATCAGAATATGGATGCTTCATCTGTAGCATTGGGTTTAGCATATGCTATAAACTTATTGGATCTCTTTCAAGGAGGAATACGTCAGTCGGCTGAAACTGAAAACCATATGATTAGTGCAGAGAGAATCGATGAATACTTTCATATTCCACCAGAGCCTGGTTTTTACAAAGAAGAGTTAGAACCACCATCTAATTGGCCTATCGAAGGAAGAATTGAATTCGATCATTATAAACTAAGCTATCGTTCAGAACTCGAATCTTTATTAAAAGGTATCAATTTAAAAATTGAACCACACAATAAAATCGGTATCATTGGACGTACAGGTGCTAGTAAATCGTCTATTTTTCAAGCACTCTTCCGATTTACTGATAAATCAACAACATATGGCAACATATTAATTGATGAAGTTGATATTAGTAGAATTAGTTTAAATGATTTACGATCAAATTTAAATATCATTCCGCAATCTCCTGTATTATTTAGTAATACATTAAGATATAATTTAGATTCATTCAATCATTATACTGATGAGCAATTATGGAACGCCTTAGAAGCTGTTCAATTAAAAACAAAGATTCAAAATTTAAAAGATAAACTAAACACACAAATGTCAGAATATGGAAGTCATTTTAGCGTTGCCGAATGTCAACTAATATGTGTAGCAAGAGCAATTTTAAAACCAAGTAAAATTTTACTAATCGATGAAGCAACAGCACATGTTGATACAAAAACTGATGAATTAATTCAACAAATTTTACGCAAAAAAATGACGAATCATACTGAATTAACTATTGCACATCGTGTGAATACAGGAATTGATAGTGATAAAATTGTTATTATGAATGATGGTATCGTTGCAAAATATGGCACACCAAGAGAATTACTTACTGAGAAAAATGAACTACTTACTAACATGAACGGTGACGATGAACCAGTTATCTACTTAGGGTTAGCCAAAAGTAATGTCGAAGATACCTTATTCTCTTTTAAGACGATCAAAAAAAATTCTTTTTTTACAGAACGATAGAGAAAACGAAGCTCTATTTTTCTATACTATTTGATCCCTATCTAACTAGCATTAAACTGATCAAATTTCGAGCAAAACTATCATCGCACCAAATTTAACTTTGGTAATACGTAATATTTTCGTCCATTTCTAGATTATTTTTCTCTCTGTTCTTCTTTTCTGTTGTTTTTTTCTCATCATTCATCGAGTTTTCTCGCATATTCTTATAAATGCATACAAAAAGAATGGTGATCGAAAGAAAATGAGATGTAAGCAAATCGAAAAAAACTTTATTTCATCAAATGTTCAAAGTAGTCACCTTGATTATCTACACACAACTGCATTCTCTCCATCCATTTATCAAACGTTTTTCGATATTCTTCCTTATCCAACGAGTACATAAACTCAGTTATAGCGTCATGTAATGATTGAGAATCGGTTTGATCGCTTAAGTTTAGTTTGATCAAATCGAATAGTCAGAAATCGCATGGTGATAAATCAGGAGAATTCGGTGGATGGGGTATGATTGTAAGACCTTCCGATTCAAGATAATCAGACACGTACTGATGGATATGCGGCTTGCCATTATCATGGTGGAGCAGAATACGATTTGTACCGTACGAAGGTCGTTGGTGCTTGATTTCTTCCACAAGAGGTTGCAAGCAGTTGTCAATATAATATTCATGGTCGATAGTTTGGCCTCGTTCCACGTGATGAATCAATAGCGGACCAGTTGATTTGAAAAAAATGGAAAATAACGTTCTTGGAGCAAATCGGTCGCGACGAGGTACTGTAGGTGGAGCATCACCTTTTGCCACCCAAGCAGCATTTGATGATTTTCGACCGGTTTGTTTGTGAAAGAACCAAGACTCGTCACCTGTCACCACATTACATAAACGCCACGTTCCATCTTTAAATTTTCTTAAATTTTCTTTACATATTCGAACTCGTTCGTTCCGTTGGAAATCAGTGAGTTCCTTCGGTATATAACGAGCGGTGATTTTGGTAAGTTGCAAATGGTCCTTGATGATTCGCCGAGTAGTGCCATAGGTTAGACCAGTTTGCTCTTGTATTTCTTCTATCGTCACACGAGAATCATCATCAATGATCAGACGGACTTGTTCGATATTATCAGGAGTTGTTACAGCAATGGGTCTGCCAGATCGTGCTTCATCATCCAGCTCTACTTGACCTTCACGGAATCGTTGAAACCATCTTTCAACTGTTCTAAGACAAGGAGCCTGATCGCCATGAACAGAGTACAATTCTTCATGAATAACTCTTGGTTGAATATTGAGAGCAGCACGCATTTGAATGTAGAACCGAATATTTTCCTTGCTCATTTGGAGTAATTAAAATGCTAGAGTGTAATTCGACTTTTGTCGTTTGACTTTCTCCGTACTATACGAGCAAAATATGTGCACTCGTGACTAGTGGGATTCGATGGACGGCTCAGTGTCAGAAGAGACGAAAAAAAGAAGAAAGAAAACAGAAACGAAGAACAGAGAGAGAAAAATAATCTAGAAATGGACGAAAATATTACGTATTACCAAAGTTAAATTTGATGCGATGATAGTTTTGCTCGAAATTTGATCAGTTTAATGCTAGTTAGATAGGGATCAAATAGTATAGAAAAATAGAGCTTCGTTTTCTCTATCGTTCTGTAAAAAAAGAATTTTTTTTTGATCGTCTTAAAAGAGAATAAGGTATCTCCGACATTACTTTTGGCTAACCCTAAGTATCTGTGATCAAAAATGTATCAAAGCAGTTTCTAATGAACCAAAACTATCAAATTCACATTTTCTTGAGCAACTTTTTATAGTCTAAAATATATTAGAAAGATTAAATCTAATGTAGAATATTTTTTAGATAAGAGAAAAACACAGACGAATGAAATTTCTAGTTGAACAAATGTCGATAACTTTCTTAGTCAAAACTAAAATTGACATTAGTTTAGGTTACTTGACAGGATTCGGAGCACCATTGCGTTATCGACTCCATTAATAACTTGAATGTTGAATAAATCGTCTATCCATATGAGTCCGTTTGGTTAATCGAATGGAATAAATAGTCTATAGAATAAACTTTCATACAGTCATAAAAGATAGCTAACACTATGAACAAGAGTGTTGTCTGTATTTCGCCAAGAACTTAACACAGCATGAGATAAATCACTAGAGGTTCATTGACAAAGAATATGTAAAATGAGTTTCGGTACAAATTTGATTTTGGAGGAAGACAAATCGAGGATTGTCACAGTAATAAAAGCAAAATAATTGAAAGATTGAACGTTCAGAATGTTGAAATTCGAAAAAAAAGGAAAGCGAAAGTAATATGTGTTTTCTCATTTTCATGTCTGAGAATAAAAGTTAATCCAAGCGCTTCAATAAAATAGCTCATCTCATGAATTCAATATCCATAGAACGCAATATCGAATCCATATTTGATTATTGATAACAACAAGATATTTTGAGTAGAATATCATTACAAAATCCAATCATTCATATGAATTCATTTACAAAACAACAATCGAACTATACATGTTCAATGATTTGTGTCGATTAAGAATAATATAAACTTACTTCCACTATTATAATTCACTATTTTTACTTGATTGGAATTTCCAAAAAATGAATATTTTAGTCATAATTTAGAAAGAGAACTTATCATCATATCATGATGTTTTAAGTTTAACTACTGACAAACATCTGCTAGAAACAGATGTCGGTGTAAGTGATATGGATGTCTTTACTTTACTCCTGTCCATACTCACATCCTTGATTTAATAAATTGATTATTTTTTTTATAAAAAAAATCTTAATGACAGCAAATCAAACTATAAATAACAGACAAGTTTTATAATTGTTTTTTTCAATACAACAATCTATCCTAGAGAATGTACTGAGTTAAGGGTACCCGAAAAAGTACCCTGTTACTAGTACGTCACAGAAACTTTTGGGTACTCAAGTACTTTTAGATACTTATGGGACATTTTGGCGGGTATCCTGCTACAAAATGTTTAGTAAATGGGTACTTCAAGATACTGATAAGATATTCAGTTGGGTACTGTTGAACAATATTTCTAGGTACCCTGCTTCCAAAATTCCAGTACGTTCAGGAACGAATCTGACCTTTGATTTTTTTCATGTTGAGCTGTTCTAGAATAATATTTCTCAAAAATATGTATCTAATGATTTGTTATCGAATTTTCTTTATATAAAGGAAATCGATAATGTCACTTCTTTCAGGATTAATATAAAAGAACTATTATTGAAATAAAAATAGATCTGTAATTTTGAGACATGCAGATTATATAAGATAAAAAAAAATCTTTATTGAATAAATATAAAATTACACCTATTGTATTACAAGTTCGAAAAAAAATTAACAGTAAAAGCAAAATAACTTACAACACAAATTTAACAAAAAATAATAGTAGTTTCAAGCTTTAATCAGAATGTTATTGGTTGATTAGCTAAGTCAGTCAGTTTGAGTTCATCTCTATATAATAAAAAATAGGACAATACGAAATAGGCAAAAAATCTTATCAGCAATCAGCAGTGAAACCTTTTTCAATAACCATTAGAATGGATCTGGTGTAAAATAAAAATATGATTATTTGATCAAGACAACAAGAAAAGGTGATCAAAAACAGAAATATAGTTGTCACGAAAAAAATGATAAAATGTTTTACCTGTTGGCACGATTTAATTGCATTAATTTTGATTTATAAGCTTTTAAAATTCCATTCCTCTTTCATTCAACAAAGTTATTATAAACTTAATAGTTGATCATTTCTCTGTTTATACACATCAATTGCCTCCTTGAAGAAAAAATCATCAATCGCCATCAAATTGTCTCTACTATTTTGATTTCTGTATTTATTGTTTAAAAAAGCAAAAGTTTGAAAACATTTATATGAACTGTACTGAGTGGTTTTAAATTTATAGCATCAATTTTTTACTGAAGCACATTTATGTGCTTTTTTTAATATATGTGTTACATAAAGAAATTTAGGATACTCTGTTTGGCTTTCCTCAGTAAAATTACAGTGCAGGTACCTACACAAGTACTTGTTCAGTAACCTTGCTGGTATGGGTATCATAGACAGTACCTACATCAGTATAATTACTGAGAATTTTCGAAGTACCTACACCGAGCACTTTGCTGAGACTTGTTAAGTACATTGGGTACCTGAACTTAGTAATTTCTCTAGGGTATAACTATTAACATAACAGGAAATTATGGGTGTTCAGTTACAACGACAAAATAAATATAATATAATCAAAGAAGATTACACGTTGTCGAAGTAACCGAATAACTATTAATAATTTTTAAATTTTCTTTGCCTGCATTGGCCAGTTGAACACTTTTCAATTGTTTTTGTTCGTATTCGAACGATTTTTGACGGATATCATCTAGATCACTATCAGTCTGTTGTTGCTCGACTGTTGTCGAAGACAAATCAGTACATTCAGCAGTACCATCGTTATAATGATCTTCTATATTCAAGTCATGACCAAACGGTTCCTTATCGGTAAACTCTCGGTTATTCGAAAATTTTGCCATAAATTCCGGATCTATATTTGTAGCATCATCCATTATTTCTTGATAATGTGGTTCATAAAGATTTTCAACATAACAAAAGTAACTATAGCGGCGTCTATGGCTGGCGTTCCTAGCATCATCATCATTATCTGTTTGATTACCACCATTGCTTTGAGTAGTAGCATTGTCATCGTTCAAATTCATATCAGCACACTTCTCGATATGTTGTACGAGTTTGATTGTTGCTGATTGAACTTCTAGTCGTTCATTTCTTTAAAGACAATCAAAATATTCATACAGACTTAAGGTAAATGAAGTTTTTATTTATGATACAATTATAAGAATTTCTAAAGACAATCATCTTTAATGAGGGCATGAAATTAAACACTTTAAGTTCTAATTCTCTACGCTTCACTTAAGTATTCTGATAAGTTATGGCTACTATATTTAGAAATAAAATAGGCTAAGAAATTGAACTAAATTCAATCCAGAGAAGAACATTCATCAATAGTCGAAAATCAATCTAGCTTTCAATAAACTATGCTCAAGATTCTATTTTGAAAGAAAATAAGATTATTTTAGACTTTTTTGAGTCTTAAAGTTTCAAATTTTCATAGGAACTTTGTTTTATTTTTATTTATAAGCTACATTTCAGCTTATGGTGCGGGAATCAATAACTAACAGTATTATATCACATTCATGCTAATACGCTGCAAAAAGTATGAAAAACTAAAGATCAGTGGAAACGTTTTTTCGGTATCACAAATTTTCCTTGCCTCTATTTGTCAATGGTGACTGATTCGTCATTTATCGGTAGTCAGAATTCACAAAGTATTCTAGAACATGTCAAAATGATCGGGATTCTAATGATTGAAGCTGCATATTTATTAAATAAAGTAATAGACAACAAGATCAATTATTAACATCTTTTTAATATACTTTCAAAAGAATGACAAGTGCCATTATGAGACAGTGTTATTGAGCGAACAGAAACGAGCATCGGCACGAGATAAGAGAATAATGCTATCTTCTAAGTCGAGAGAAATAACTAGAAAGTGGATCGCATATTTCAACGCTAAGTGACAGAATATGAATGTGAGCATAAAATCAAAACAAAACAATGAATGACTAACGAAAAATACAATGAAACAGAAAATGATCAGTAGCAACATAGTGGTAAATGATAGAAAAATCAAAAATGTAGAAAATATTGGTATGAAATAGAATGATAGGCGCGTTTAGTTTCAACCTTTTTTTTATTTGTAAAAGACTTCCGTATCTGTAAAGTCTGTTCTATCGTATTGAGAGTCATTATATGTGGGCTTCACATTTTAAACCCAATAGGGATTATGTTGACAATATTTTTTTAATCAAATGAAAGCTGGTCAAACAAATAATGGATCTATTAATTATTCTTTTTGAATGCTCTCAAAAACCAGAGATGGGCAAGCACAACTCAACTCACGTTTTAATTAATCTTCTTCAAATTGTTTTGACTTCGCTTTTCTATATGCTATCCCTATGAACTTAAAAAAATTTTTATACAGAATCGTTTTTCGTTCAGAATATTCATTTGACATCATGAAGAACCGAATCAAATGGTTATATGAATTTTAACTGAAGGAGTTTTCGTAATGGAAGTTTGGTCCAGGTCCAAATTAACTACAATTAATCACCTCTTAATATTCGATACACTTCATAATACTTAGCAGCATGTGGTTCCATAATGATGTAGTACTCAGAGATACGCGATCTTACCAAACATAACCATAGAAGACTCTAGTTGAATCAATGTGCTCTTGATTGCTATTTTCTAATAAAAATGGATGCTGCTAAGTACTAGGAAGTGTGCTTAAAATTGATAGGTGATTAAATGTGCTTAACCTGGATTCATACAAAAAGTCTGATTATGTTTCAGCTCGGTAAGGAAAATCTCTGAGTTTTTTTTATCCAGAACGAAAACGTTGAAATCCACGTTCCCAAGATACTGCTGAAAAAATTTGATTCAACAACTTTCTTCAGATCTCATTGATAGAAATAAAAATTTACCGGCTAGGTAATGCTTGAATTTTTTCTTGTATATTCGGATCATTTGGATCGGCAATCATTAATGTCAATAAACGTCGATCATTCATAGCTAAAACAATAAAATCATCGTTGACTTTCATTGATGAAACAAAATCATAGAGAAATAATTTAGCCATTTGTTGACCATCATCAATACGATACATGTTCAGAATACGAGGTTTGATTAGAATAAAAATATACATAGCTGATTTATGTAAACATATCTGTTCACATTCATTCTCTAATTCAATCGATTTATAGGATACTTGTAAATGAATATTATATAAATTGATTCGATTTTGTTTGTTATTCATTGTTGCTAAACAATTCTGTTTGAAACAAAATAGATCAACTGAATCCAATGGAATTATGTTGACTGATCCATTTTTCTTGGATTTATCTAATTCGATTTGACATAATACAAGAGATCTATTATCAAAATGTAATACAATCGAATTTTGATGTTGTTCAGTGGAAATACATTTCAAATATGTTGATGAGAAATATTGTTTTTGATTAATATCAATATAGATTAATAAATGTCTATCGAACCAGAGAACTATTGTTTGTAAATTGTCCGCAAATACAACAAGATGTTCTCTTGAATCCAATGTAACAATTGTACTGAGCATCATTGCACATGGTATTTTCAATTCTATATCGTTTGTCTGTTTGAATTCGATGACTTGATCAGAATTCGACTCTTGAATAATTGAACATAATGAACCATTGCTAGTCAAGATAAGATAATCGTTATTCCTGATAGAATGAACTCGAATTGACGAGTCAAACTGAACTGAGAAAATCGGTTCATAATGAAGTGATTGACATAAATAAATCTCTATTCGATGATTATTTATAATAGTAAGTACAAAAACCATGTTCGAATTGAATTTGTTCGATGCAAGAAAGAAATCATTGACAATCAAAGAATCCGAAAAGAGACGTGTTGATTCGATTGATGTTGAATGTTGGTATGACCAGATTGTTAATTCTCTAAATTTAGTAAATAGAGTTTCTTTCGCATATCAATCAGTGAACAATGATATTTATCAGATCTACATAGGCTTTTATCAAATAAAAACGAGTAAGAATGTGATGTAAATCATTTCTATTGGTGAAGTTTTGCGTAAAAAAAACTTTTATCTTAAACCATTGCAGCACAGTTCACTGGAAAGCCTGACAGGATTAAAGTATTTTTATTTTCTAGACACGATGAACTGTGAACAAATTCTGAAAAGCAAAGCTTTTGAGTAGATTTTATCGCTTGGAGTTGGTATGTGTTTGAACTAACGATTTTAAAACTATTCAAAACTGTTACAATAACAAAATTAACGAAATTTTTTACAAATATCTTTTTTTGGACTTGTAATTATTCTAGTTAATAATATAATCAAAACATTTGTTCAAAATTTGGATAAAGAAGATTTTCTTTTAGAAAGATTTTTATTTCTATATGTAGTATGTTCATTGATCCTTTCGTTCTATTCAAGTTCTTTGTCTAAATAACTACAATAATCGCTTTGAATATCATTCAAAAATAGAACAATCGTTCAGCTAAAATAATACATTCATCAACTCTTTCTTTTTATAAATATAATTCTTAATACGATAATTTTGAATAATTTTCAGAACAGCAATTTTTTTTTCTGTTTGACAAATTTTGAAAAATATAATTACATTTTATCGATAGGAATGCTACATTTAGAACATCTATTTTCAATTTTGCATCTTTATTTCAATTCGAAAAATGAGAACTCAATTACCGTTTTTGACTATCAAGTGTTACTGCAATTGTATCGTAAAGTTTCATAGTTTCGATTACATTATATGTACGTGGAAATGGTGGCATTATTTCATATGTTTCACGTATTTGTGCAGTTTGATACATATGAATGACTCCGTTTTCCATCGAACATAAGAAAAGAGGTTCTAAAAATTGATAGATGATATATTTGGCATTGAATATTGTACTATTGAATATAATAAATACAAACCTAACGCAACAATTGGTTTGATTCGAGTTACAGACGATGAACTTATATCAATCGAAGCATACAATTCATATGTATGTAAATAATGACATTTCTCATTTCTAATGTCTTGAGTATTTTCACAAGTCCAAACGTAAATATCTATGATACCTCCACGAGCCGTGTATACAATATTTCGATTATTTTCATGCATTGAAACAATATCAAAATGACCGTTGATACGCGCATAGGATATATTATTTTCTTCACATTCATGAATAACATACAAAGAATTCGTTGTCATAGCCACAAATAGTAAAGAATTGATTTTATTCAAATCGTAACTCATTTGTTCTTTGTCAGGTAATATAATACGTTCGATTGGTTTCGGTTCAATGGGTACATCAAAATTAACCAATGTTTTAATAATATCATCGTCAGATACAATTTCTTTACTTTCATAAATTATTTTCAAATCGATATGAACAAAATCAACAGATATCGTTTCATCAAATGTATAAATCAAATTTCGTCCACTAACAATGATCGAATTGAAATGTTGTCCAATATGAATGGAACAACGATAAACGAAAGATATTTGTGTGAGATTAGTAATCGAATAAAAATGAACAAATCCATCTTGACAAATAATGATAAGCATTAAATATGTATTAATACAGAGAATTTTTTTAATTTCGGATGAAATTGAATCAATTCGACTAAATAGTCGATTATTTACAAGATCCCAACATTCAATCAAATTACTATTCATTTCTTTTATAATACAAAGTCCATGTTTATAATCAAGAATTTCTACTGTTGCATAGCCAACATTTGACATTTGTTCAAATTTAATTTCATCATATGCAGATAAGAAATAAATATGATGAAATGAATTAACAAAAAAATAATATTGTTGTTCATTTTCATCGAATTGATAGATATTTGTTAATGTCGTTATATTTAAATAGGGTTCATTTAATTTAGGTAATTTAACATCGAATGATGTATGTCCAGATGTCATATCAATAACAACAATTCGATCCGATAGAGATATAGCTGCCATTTGATCATATGTTAAAACGAGATCGATTACAGGTGTTGTATGTTTATTCATTGAATAGACTAAACCACTACCTGGTGGTCGCATTTGACAATAAGGTACAATTAGAGAACAATGCTGAATACTTTCTTTATCGAATTGTTTGATTAAACGAGTTATATTTGATTTAATACCGAATAAACTAAGTAGACGCGATGAAAATTCAAATACATAATTGTTTGGATATTCTTGTAGTAGATGGCCAATCATCATATAAATCATAAATAATATATTGATTTCATTTCTCATATTGATAACTTCATTCGATAATTTGTTTTTCGAAATATCTTTGAAATGTTGCATTAAAATAGTAATATCATTGTAATCTGAACATTGAATTTTGGCATCTATATGTATAAAAACAAAAAACAAAAAAAAATTTGAAAAATGATCAAGAAAAACAATATTAAATTTGTCTTTTCATCAAACGAAATTATTCCACGCATTAACAAAGAAAATCTTAGATCAAAATTTATTCATTCATTTTCTTTAACTAAGTACTTTCATAAATTTTTACCTATATATCAAAACAAGTAAAAATTTATCAATCTGCTCGATAGACAAGCAAAAGATATCACTATTTACCAATTTTACATCGTTAACTTCATAAAAATACAATACAGACTTCTTAGTTTCGTCACAGACTGTGATAGAAACTTCGACATGCTGCTTCTTTGATCTCATTATGAATTAGAGTTGGAACAAGTATCGTCACATGATTGTGCATATTCATTGGTGTAGAAATTTCCTCAACCAACCGGTTCAGTTTGGAATAACTTTTTCATCAAAAGAAAACATATTGTTTTGAACGGTTTAAATAGTGCTATTGAATTTTGTTTTACGGAAGTCAAACAAGGATTTCATTATAAATTTTCTCTCATTTTTATTTATAAAAAAAGACAAGCAGGTTTCTAAGTTTTTCATTTTTATGTATATTAGCACATTTAATTAACAATCTAGGTCAGTTTCATATTGAACATTCTCTATATCGATTCATTGACCAAGTAAACAAAAGAGAATTTTATTGAACGATCTTTAATAGAAATGATGCTGTTTCTTTTGTCTTCCTAAACTATGTACAGCCTCTTTAGAAACAATTTCAAACGGAAAGCAATCATGATTAATTATTCTCGTTTCGATCGTTTATCTATGTAAGCAAAATATTATAATTTTATTTATACGACATTTTCTTACAGACAAATTTCATTTTTTGATTCTCTTGAATAAAGTTTAGCAATAGCTTTTGTTTACTTTCTCACATCAATTTTAATCAAAATTATCTTACGCATGAACGAATAATTGAAAAAGACTTCTGTGACTACGATTGGTATAGCTAAATTTGGTGATAATTTACATAAGAATTGTGGTAATTCATTTAATTTTCGTTTATTGTATTGAATTTTACCATTGACATCAATAAATTCAATCGGTTGTGAAGTTATCAATCGATTACCTGGAATTTCTCCATTCGATTCTATTAAATGATATTTATCAATCAATTTTGGATTGTCAATTTTGAATGGTTTATTTTTTTCTTTCCAAGTTTCGTTATATAAATCGATCATATTGCCGAAAATGATTTCTTTTTCTGTTTCATCTAATTGAGAAAGATATTCTTTATTGACAACATCGATAAAGCGACGATGATACCTAAACATTTTCAAAATTAGTAACAAAACAGATTCAATCTAACGTTCAGAATTGACAAGTTAAACTTTGTTTTTTTTCTCAAAATGTTCAAACAAGTAATCAAAAGATATCATTTGAATTTTGCATACCAAAAACGCCATATTCGTTTTTATTATTTTTTGCTGGTTGAAAACTTATAAAATAGATTTCGATATGCCTAGCATGGTCTGTGGGGGTACAAATTCCTCGGTCTAAACCTTCAACACTCATTTTCAAGCCTATTTCACAAAAAACGATTTGCTTTTCACTAGCTTCCGATGTATTGAATGCTTAAAATCGAATAGTGATAAAGTCCTTATTCAAAAAGATTGCAATATCATGCGGGGCTTGATTACGTTTACAGGAATTTTGTTCTAGTAGAAAGCCGATGGCTAAACTCAATCATTCAACACAAGTTCTCAAAGATGTACTTGAAAGTAGTCAGCATTTAACTATCGATGAAGAGCCACAAATATATTGCGTTGGATGACTAACTAATTCGATTTTCTCATTAAAAAATCACTTACGGAGTCATACGTAATCACTTGAGTATGAATAAGGTCTACATACGTTCGGTGTCGAAATCCTTAGATTCACTGTAATGCGCTACTAGAATAAACTGTTGTTAGGCACTACGATCTATTCAGTCAGCTAGAAAAACTTAAGATAAATGATGCCAACTTAAATCTGTCAATGGCGATGAGTTGACAATTTACCGTTAGGAAAAGTTACTCAGGGGCTGTCTGTTTTATGATATTGCTTTAGTTAACAACTTCAATGAATTTTCTAATCCCGATTTGAGTATGGCCACTGATGAGGAAGCAATAAAAGGGCTGGTGACAGGTCCTTGAATAATATTGATTACGAGTTTTGTCTTCAGTGATCATACAGAGTTTACATGATCGTCCAGTCTATGATGACAGATAAAAATTGATACATTGAATCCATGAAAATATTTGTTATTATAAGTTGGCAGATTTCAAACTACAATTTTTTATTTAAACAGATTGATGTCAGTATAGCATCACTAGTCTAAGTGATATGAATGTTTGAAGAAAAGAAATTTCTTCTAAAAATTTAATATCTATGTTCATCTAGAACTGTAACATATAAGTCACAAATAGTTCAGTATGTGTTATTAATTCTAAGCCAATTATTTATTTTCAGAAAGAGTTTAGTTCTTTTTCTAATCATTCTTAATTATAATAACTTGTATGAAAATAGATTAAAATATAGATTATATAAAAGTGCTTCCTATTGCGTAGGCAGGCTTCTTTCTCTTAAATAAGCTGATATAAAAGTTAGTTATAGAAGCTAGAAAAAATTTTCTTGTATTTCTTTTCTTTCAATAATCTTACCAGTAGATAACCGATGAATCATCGATTTCTTTTTCCGTTAGATATTCATCTAGATCATTCCTTATTCTTGTCCATAAAATGCCTGGTAAACGTTGTATTGGTGGAATATAATGTTCAAAAATACTTTTGAGAACATCATCATCGAGTGAGAGTACATCTTCTAATTCATTTTGACTAATACCACTACGACAAGCAGTCATATAACAAAGTGCACGACGAAACAAAACACTATTATGTTTAGTTTGTAGATGATTGAATAGATATCGAATACAATCATCGACAGTACGACATGTTTTCAATTGATTATCAATTGTATCATATGAATGCCATGTACATAAAATATCAAACATTAGTTTCATCAATAGAGGAACTATTTTTGTTTGTTCTTCCATCCATTGACGAATAAATGTACGTTGTTCATGAGTTAATGAACGTTGTTTTAATTGAAGCCAATCATTATAAATAATTTCTACTGTTGATGATTCAAATGATGGAATTAAAATAAGTAAATGTTGTATTTGTTTAATTTCTAATCGATAATAACCGATTAACGATTTTAAAGATGCAAGTATACCACCATGTTCAGGTAAAGTAGAAACAATACATTTTATATTTTTCGGAAATAATTTTGGTAACCATTGACAGTCATATGCATCTGATTCAAGTTGATCAATTGAATCAATTACAATAAGAAGATATTCATTTTCAGGTATTTTCAAAAATAAATTTGTTTCTAATTGATATCGTAATTGAAGAATATCTGAATAAGTATCCATGGATAAATTATATAATTGACATATTTGTTGAGATATTGATAGAAGTGTTTTGTACATTGTAGATGATTGAGGTGTTGTTCTACAAATTTATTCACTTGAAAATATTCATTCAATCTAAGTTCAACATACCCGAGAAAACGTAAAATCACTGAAACAGATCGATTAGACCACCATTTCAATACCTAATCATTAGAAACCAATCATAAATAAATTTTGTGAACCATGGAATTTAAAATTACCAATGAATGAATTAACTATTATTCTATAATTTCTGAACTGTTCGATTGAGAAAAAGAAAACGATCCATGACGCAAAATATCTCAAGAAGTCTTAAATTTCTTTCTGAATTCAAGCGACATTGATAATAATATTAATAACTGAATCGAGTAATTCAAATATATTATTTTGTTTAATCTAGATTGATACAATTTAAAAACAAAATCAACTACTATCTTAATTATTTTCGATAATAATATATTCTAGTGGTTCGAAACTAATTAGTGTTCATTCGTGAAAAAGTCAAATCTATCAACTTATTCTCTTGTGATTACTTTGAAAACAAGTTTTCGAGAGCGATTAAATTTTCATATGAATCTTTCTGAAATATGTTATTATCATGACCGTAAATTTGTTCTTTTAGGGTTATTTCATAATCCACGACAGACAAGCCAATAAAATATTTTCGATATCATGATCTAGGACTTTCAGATATTCAACGAATCTCTAGATTTTAAAACTCTACGCTTCAACAATTTCGTTTTACTCTCGTCATCTGATTCTTTAGCTGTTATCATATTCCTGAGATATCTTTGCTTCTATCACTGAATGACAGATTATAATCAATAAAAAATGGGTATCTTCATGTGCAATTTAAATGGTTCCGTTATATTTTAAATTTTCATCTCCGTTTCATATCGAACTGTAAAATTTAAACTATACACACGTCAATTGCAATTTTAGCCAATAAACTTGTTTTTCCAAATCCAGAATCTCCATATGCAATACAAAAACGATTTTCATTCTCATTCATAACATATTCTTTAAACTAGAAAGAAACAATAAAATTGAATACTTTGATCAATCCAATGTTTACTTGATTAAGTATATCGATACGACCGTGAAATTTATTTACATATGTTTTACATTGAATTGCATGTTCTAATATTTCATGTTGTAATGGATCTGAATCGAACAAAATTCGAGATTTAACACATTGATCAATTTGTTGTTTAACTGCATGATAAAAATCATTATTAAATTGAGCAATATATGTTGCGTGATCATGTCGATTTATTCCATTTGATGTCCAATGCACTTGATAGGAGAATATATTTGATGACTGTAATTTACTTGGTATCCGAGATTTTTTTAAATTTTGAAGTAAATTTTCAGCTTCACTATCGATTATTAATTCACCTGTTTTTGAATGACACATATCGATGTATTTTGATATTTTACTATCGAATAAATGTTCGTGAATATTTTCAATTTCACGTAAAAAACATAATGTACGTTGATTGGCATCTGATGTCGTTAGAATACCTTTGACAATTTCTTTCTCAGTGACTAGAATTAAGAATAAAGAGAAGAACAATCTTTTGATTTGAATTTAAATTTTCATGTGTTTACTCGATATAAAAAAATCATCGTATTCATCTTGTGTAATTTGGTTTTGCTCAAAACATTTTGTCGCTGCTTGACGAAGACAATTTCGAATACGATTATTAATTATTTTCCATTCTTTTTCGGCTTGTTTCATTTCTTTTGTATTCTAAATTGAGAAAATAACGATAACATAAGTCAATATCTCGTTCAATTTTTTTTTACTGAAGACTCTATCTTTGGTAGAATCGATGATATCGAACGAAGTACGTAAACAGCTGGTATTCGATTCGTATCAAGTTGATACCATTGAGAAAGTAATTGAGCATCGTTATTATCATTTAAATCTGAACGAATAATGGCGAACAATAGATCAAAAAGTGTTGCACGAATTATTGCCGGTGTTGGTCGAGAACCATAACGATGGCTTAGTAAAACCTGTATTAAAAAGAAAAACAAATGTAGATAGAAAAAATAAAATGATTTTGAATAAATTTATTTTAGGTTACAATAAAATTTGTCGCCACCGAATATTTTTTGCACATTTCAATTTCATGAAGACATGTTTGAACTTCACTATGATTGTTACTTGATTCATTTTGAATACCCCATCGCATATCGGCATACTATAATACACAATCTCTAATGAATTATAACATGCATTATTCAAAATACAAACTTGAAATTCAAGACCATATTTTTCCCGACAATAATCTTTTAGTTTCGGAAAGACAGTGTCAATCAATGAATCTCTTTCGGCAAGTGTATCTGAAAAAAAAAATGTTTTTATTAAATTATTACACATGTATGCGTAATTTTTGAACCTGAAAATGTCGAACTGAGAAAGACGCGTACAACTTTTGATCGGACATCCGGAATTTCTTGACAACGACCGCGTAAAATATCCATGTGATTGATTTGTTTCATAATTTGACAACAGAAAAATCATACACATGTAATAAAAACGTTTTTTTTTTCTCTCGATTGTTTGATTTATGCTTGCTAAAGAATTTGATACACACACATAACATACTCATGTTGACATGTCTCTTGTATTTACCTTGGAGACGCCTCGATTAGGATTCAAATCTAAATGAAGAAAGTCATAAATACGAGCAGTAGGTGAACTAAATAAATCTAAATGGAATTTTTTCA